AAAACTTTTTTGCTTTCTTTTTTATATCACCTATTAATTTTAAAAACAAACAAATGAATGTTCACAGTAACACTCAGTTTCAAATAGAAAACTTGATGCAGGGAAAAAGCCTGACCCTGCAATATGAAGAGCCTTACTCAGCTGTGCAGGGAGGGAGCCTTGGCGAGCTCTCCAGAGCCCTGGGGATGAGAATCAGCAGCTCTGGAGCTGCCTTGGGGCAAGTTCTGCTCAGGGGCTAGCAGCACGGACAGGCTCTCGCTGCTCACCAGCAGCACACGCACACCCTCAGCAGATCAGGTAATGCCTCCCTGAATATCAATGCCTCATTCCAGAAACAGCCACAGGAAAAGGCACCGACAGCACGGCACTTGTACCAAGTAAACAACCCCAGTTTTCCCCCGGAGGCATTAAGGCAAAATGATTCCTAAGAGCCAAGCGGGGCAGACCCGACAGATCGTGGGGGTTACTCATTAAGCCCGTTAACCTCATTAACCTCATTAACCCGGGCCCCGCTCACAGAACCCCCGCCCTGGCCGGGCACACCGCGGGGCAGAGGAAACGCCGGGGAACAGAGCAGCGACAGCAGAACCTACCTGGGGCACTACCGCACAAGGGTGCCTCAGAGAGCAGCGAGTTTCCCTCTCACATCACATGATGTGCTGCAGCTGCTCTGGAACACATGACTCAATGTAACAAGGAATTGCAGAAAGCAGAAAAAAACCAAAAAGCTGGGAGCTAACTTGTGAGAGAAACAGACTCTTCTAAAAGATTAAATCTTTCCATGATACAGTCCTAAAAACCTCAGTTTCTACAGTCACTTGCCTTTCTAAAGGCATATATATATAAAAAAGCCAACAGATATCAAAAAAACAGGTGGTAAAGTCAATCAGCATTATTAAATAAAAGCCGAATATATTCAATGGCAAAAATCTTGAACAGGATACATAATTCTATCTCAGCCAAAAACAGGAACTCGTTTAGAATTAATCAAAAAGATAATTACAGATATGAGAAACTTCATTTTAAGGACCTACTGAGACAATTAGGCCAAAAGGAGGCAAAACAAAGTGGACATAGAACACGTCTAAAAATCACAACTTGCGTGAAATGGAGGAATATGGCTTGATGTTTGCTGTGCCCTACAAGAACTAGGATTTATCCAAAGGATGGTGGTAATTTCAGGAAAATAAAATCAATTAAATGGAGTTCTAACAGCATATAATTAAAGTATGGAACTTGTTACCCTGTGAAGCTGTGGGTGATAAACATTTACACAGCTATAGAAAGCAACAGCATAAACCCAAGTAAGACAAATCCAGCAAGAGGAACTGAACTGGGCAGCACTGTTTCTGTGACATCCTGTGACTCCTCACTCGGGTGTCCCCATGAGGCTCCTGCAAGAGGATATTCCCCACGCTGCACTCTGCAGAGGGAGCAGCTGGAGCTGCTTGCCCGGCTCCCCTGTCCCTCGGTGCCACCGGCAGCCAGAGGTGACAGCTGTCCCTGCCCAGCCGTGCTTGTGCCCTGCTGGTCACCCACCACACACCGGTGACAGCCCTCAGGGTCACTTCTGTCACCTGACCACGAAACCGGGCAGACACAACAGCCTGTGCACGGCTGCTTTCAGTAGCACCTCACCACCACTGCACCTTGAACTTGCTTTAGCATGAACAAGCCTTTAAGAGAAAAACTATTATTGTAATACAGTTTAGTCTATAATTTAATAACCATTTCCAGCCTTTCTGTAAAAAACAGGTAACAACTACAATCTTAATCTACTAGTAAATTAGCATACTGGGCGACAATCAGATGTTCCACTGGTTACATAATCTGCTGCAGAATGCCCTGTGTGAGCAACAGGGAGGATCTCGTTGCCTGGTGTTGCCCAAACCACAGTGTGGCTGGCACTGGTTCCAGCAGAGACATCAGACTGGCCCATTGTCCCTCCCTGTGCTGCACCCCTGCACGCTGCTCTGCCATTCACAGCACGGAGACTCGCTGCATCCACAGCCCACTGGTGCTGGACAGGTTTTTTCAATGATCAGGTTGATGACTTGGAAACGCTACAGACACAGTTGTGGAAAACAGGCTACAGCTGATCCCCAGAACAAAAACACCTTCAGGTTTAACAACGTGAACTCGCACTCCCCGAAGACAAACAGACCAATTTCTGACCAGCCAGGCAAGGCACTTTGACTGCTGGACTACCTGCTATTTCTGTAATTTTCCTCTTTGACATGCTTATAAAACTAGCAATGTACACAAACAAAGGGGAAAAAAGTGAAACTGTTACAGAGGCCAACTCTTAACTAATTCTGCAGAAACTCTCACTCACAGAGCTAACACTAGGAAAACAGAACTTCAGAAAGAAAAAGAAAACGTTTTTATAACTCCACCTCAAACCTGTATCATCTGTTTTGCAATGAAATTATACCAAATTCTATAAAACTACTTGCTTTTCCCTATTGCAGTATCAGAGTTGTCCCTTACAACCAAGGTTTTCACTTGTTTTAAATGATACTTTTTCCTTTTCCTAGTAAACAGCCTCCTCAGGGCATACGGTTCCATGAGAATACACGCTTTTGCTCCAAATTCTGATGAGATGTGGGCTCTGGACTACAGAGGAAACTTTCAAAACAAACACTATAGGCTCAAAGTTGATTGCAATGAATTTTCTTTTTTCAAGTAAAAACCACTTCATTTTCTAACCAGATGTATTATTTCCTAGCCTGTAACTTGTCCTAACCTTCACTGCACAGAAATACAAGTTAGACAGCAGGGTATTTAGCTCCTTTGGAATTAGTAAGCAAGCCACTCCCTCAGAGTCACTAAGTTTTAGGAATCAAAAGTTTAATACAACCATTTGCAGGTTTTAAAGATTACTAAAGCCAGTACCCACTTGTGCTAATGTAACTTAATTCCAAAAGAACTCCTTAAAAACTCCACTCCTTAAAAAAGCGTAACAAACATTCAGCCACTCAGGTTTATCTCTGTTCCCGAGAGCAAAAGCAATTTCACACAATTGTTAAGGATAGGGTATTAGGAATGCCATAGTGAAACTGTATTTACAAGGAAGTGCAAGTCAGCCTTAATATAATTAAATGAGTTGGAATTTGGCCAGTAACTCGGGCTATGACAAATCCACAAGCCAGTCTATCCAACAGTACAAAGTGTACTTGTTTAGGCACTTTTCCACAGCACGGCTGATGACAGAAACAAAAAATGTCTTTAGGCTGGTGCTTAACTTCAAACAGGAAGAATTGCATTTAGGTAATTTTAAATAAGTCACTTGTAACACCCTCCCAACTCTCATATAGAGTCATGAACAGATTTTGTCAGAGCTACTCTGTGGCTATACAGAGCAGTGAATCTTATTGTGAAATAATTCAAAATAATACCTTAGAATGATATGGAAGTGGAAATTAAAATCTGTGGTACCTCATACTGTGGCTTCTACATAACTTGAGGCAACTTACTACAAATGTCCCAAAAGTCATCAAATGCTGACTTCAAAGAGAGTGCAAACAAGGAAAATAATGCAAAGAGGGAATAAATACAAGCCAGCTGAGAAAAACAAACCCAGTCACACCATTTTAAGAGTACTTTGGAGTCCCACAAATAGAGCATGAACCACACTGCAAGAAGTGGCAGCACAGAAGTTACTTTTTGTGACTGCTCCTGGCCAGGCCCCACAGCAGAGGCAAGATGCGCTGCATTTGGAGCACAGCACTCTCGCACTGCCCTGCAGTGGCTGTGGAATGTCTCGGAGAAGAACATGCAGTCACTTCCTTGTGAGTCAAAGGCCTTGGATGAAAATCAACTGCAACACAATCACTGAGATGCCAAGCGGTAAGCAGAGGTTTTGCAAGCATAAAAATATAACTATTTCAAATATCAAGCAATCTCAGCAATGTATTTTAGGGCATTTATGCCTCAAGCAAACTCTGCATTCTTTTGTTTCATGAAGAATGTCAGGCAGTTGTTATTTACTCTTTCAGTTGAACCTCTGCCACAGTATTTCAGCCCCCTAGGTACCACACCGGACCATATCACATATCAATTAGTATTGCTTAATTAGCAACAGGCCCATGTAAAGCAGTGACAGAAATAATTTTTAAGAGTTGTTTATACTTACATCAGTGTGTGCATAAATTCATATTTTTAAATAGACATTCTGAATGATAAGAAAAAAACTGTAGTATGATATTGTTTTAAGCTCAAAATTATCCTTAGGAACTGCAAGCCAAATTTATTACTGTGATGTACAGTTTGCAGTGAAAGTAATCTTGGGAACAGCAGATTGTTCCTTCCATACCTGAAAAAATGCTTTTAGAAATCCCCATTGCTCAAACTGTCATCTACCAGAGATCATTTCTTATTTAAAATATGGATGCCATTAATACCCTACATTTTTATATATATGTTGTGATGAACAGTAATAAAAGCATTGCTTTATTTCATCCACACTCCAAAAAGATTATTCTGTAGGTCTGAAGACACAAATTCCAAACTTACCTAACAGCACCATATTCAATAAGAGTAAATGAATAAAGATGGCATTACAAGTTTTCCAATACAGAAGTCAATCATACCCACATACTGGAAATTCTATTACTATTTTCCTTTATTTTAAAGGAAGACTCTGACACAGGCTTTGCTACTGGGTTCTGCACACAGGTAAAATCAGTCTGATAAAAGTGTAATTACCAGTACTCTTCTGAAAGTTATCAAGAATGCAAAAACACTTAACAGTGGTTTAATTTCCAATACTCATAATAAAACCAAGACATTATTCTATATGTAGTACAGCATCACACAGGCAAAACTGCCTATGTATTTATTTAGTGTTTCAGGTGAGTTAGAATAAGTTTCTACAGAAACAAGTATCATTACCTTTTTCTGCTCAAAAGCAATATTCCCTCAATGAACAATGCTAAGATTAAAATATACCAAAATCAACACCAACAGAGGTATCTGTCAAATTCTTGATTCATGCCTACCTGGTAAAAGTACTGGTTCCAGTTTTTTAATCCTTGGTTCTGATGCTATATTTTCATCAGCCTGAAATAAAAGAAAAAAAAAAAAAAAGAGATAATTAACTTAAGGCTCAGAACTTTATAGTCAGACACAAGCTTGACCTGCTTGTACACAAGAGAAAGTTGTTTTAAGCGAAAAGGTTCATCTTAAGGAGCTGGAATCCAGTCATAGAAAGAGTTTTTAACAGTTTTGAGGCCATTTACATTTGTACCAAAAGAATTAAAAATATTTTAAATATTCATTTTTAAAAATTTGGGTAACCCAAACTATCACAAGTCACAGGATGAATAAAAACCAATTTGGCTTGATACTACATAATGGCTCGAGATATTCAACAAGTTTTACAGATAATAACACTCAACTTCAAAATAACTCTACGAACTTCTAACATGCTCAGCTTTCCAACATAGGAAAGATTTCAAAAAAACCTAAGGCCTAGAACATGCATATGCTTACTTGCACTTCAGTTTTAAACGTTAAAAATTAAAATCTTCTATAAAAAGACTGGAACCTTTAGTGAAATAACCCACATTTCCTACAATGCTAGCAATATAACCATTGCCCAGGACTAGGAATATGCAGAACTGCGTTACATCGACTTCTACTAAGAAATTGGGAAAAACCAAAAATGAGTCAACATGTCAAACATGTTGCTAGAAGAGGTCCTGTCTTGTCTAAAGTAAACAAATACCACTTTGTGTCAAGTGCACATCCAGCTGAGACAAAAAGTCCTGGGGGTTCTCGACATACTCAGTACTATATGCGCTATACATAATTGATAGATATACTTAGTTTCTTATTTATGCCATCAGACACGTTCTAAACATGAAGCGGTGGCTACAAGTGAGAGTTTAACTATCTGCACAGCTGCCCGATGCTTTCTCCTCATCCCGCCCAGCGTTGCGAGCAAAGCGAGCCCAAACACCTGAAGCATAACACACAACTTTCCAAAACAATCTGCCACGGGCCGGTTTTAATGAACACGAGACTTTATTTTGATACAAGTCCGGCTTCCGGACAGACCGCCGTGCGGGCTCTGTCCGTGCGCGGCGCGGGGACCCGGAGGCCGAGGGGCTGCACCCCGGACGGGCTGCGCAGCTTTTGTTTCCCGGTGCCACGGAGGGCTCGGGGACCCGGTGCTGTTCGCCACCCCCGGGCCAGCGGGCACAGCCCCCGGGCCAGCGGGCACAGCCCCCGGCGGCACCTCGGCCAGGGACAGGGACGGCCCGGGGCAGGCAGGGCAGGGCAGGGCAGGGAGGGCAGGTCGGTAATGGCAGTAAAAGGCGGTTACCTGAGGCAGAAGGTACGACTTGAAGGTGGGTTTGGGCTGCTTGAGGGAGAACATTGTGGCCGCCGACGGGCGGGCGGGCCGGGCCGGGCCGGGCCGGGCCGCGGAGGTGGTGCCGACGCCCGCCGGCTCAGGCCCGGCGCCCGCGGCCGCTCGGGCTGCGCTCCCCGTCACACCGCGGGGGCGGCCCCGGCGCACCCTCCTTCCCCAAGGGAGGAGCCAGCGGCCTGGGCAGGCCCGGGCTGGAGCCGCTGCCGCCCCGCATGGAGCCCCCGCGGCTCCCTCCGCCTCCCCGAGCCGGCCCAGCGGCTCCTCGGGCGGGCGGCGGCCCCGGCGGGCCGGGCCGGGCCGGGCCGTGAGGGGCGGGCGCGGCTGTGGCCGCGTACGGCGGCGCGGAGGGAACAAGCGGCCCGGCGGGGAGGGCCGGCCCGCGGCACCGCGCAGCTCCGGCACGGCCGCACTGCGGGGCCGGGTCACCGCCCCGCCGGCCCCGTTCTGCCCGGCCGGGGCCTGCGGCGGGCGGGGCCGCCTACCGGAGCACAGGATTGCCGCGGTTCTGCCTCAGAGCTCCGTGGGAACTGAAACCCTCGCTCCGGGGCCTGCAGGAGTTACCGCTACACAGGGCTGGCTCCTAAGGCAGCGGTGAAATCCAGCTCCGGCATAGAGGAGAGGGGGACTGGTCAGACACTGGCACAGGCTGCCCACGGAGGCCGTGGCTGCTCCATCGCTGGCAGCGTTCACAGCCAGGTTCTGTCAGGCCTTGAGCACCTGTTCCAGTCACAGGTGCCCCTGCCCCTGGCAGGGTTTTGATCGATGCTCCATCCCAAGCCCTTAACGTTCTGTGAATCACTTACTGCTATGGAGTTCTTCCCCTGGCACCCTTTACAGAAGGTGTATGCATTACAGCTGAGGGTTGTGTGAACTCTCTCAAGCACACGATGTGACTCTTGGGGATGGTTCTGTGCAGGGCCAGGAGCTGGACTCCACGATCCTTGTGGGTCCCTTCCAACTCAGCATATTCTGTGTGATTCTGTGAGGGCTGGATGATGCCCAGCAGCTGCTCAGTCACCCTCCAACTCTGCAGCCCTGCTGACTGGGAGCTGGATGTTGATCCAATATCATTGTAACTCCCTTTAAGCTTTCCAGGCACTCATGTGTTGCTCACCTGAACTTCTCCAGAACATGGAAATAACACAGGCACCTACCTAAACGGCCAAAATCCATCACTGCTATCTCTTTTAAGTAGGAAACTGAGTAACTGCTCATGTTTGCTTAGTGGCCTGTGGCACCCATAAAGGTCCATACTTTATTATGACTGTTCTAAACTTGGCCTCCACAGTGAAAATACCTCCTACACAAAGCAACAGTTTGGGTGGAAATGTGGTTTAATGGAGAATCCCACAGTCTGTCAGCTGTGAGATCTAGGGAAGGGGGAGAGTCTGGGTTCTCCTGCTGATGATCCAGTCACAAGGGAACTGGGTTAATCCAGCAGGTCTCTCCAGAGCCAGGTCTGAAGTGTTCAGTAGGGTAAGAAGGGCTGGCCCCTGGCTGCTGCTGCCCCACAGTCTGGTTCCAGCTGTGAGCCAAGCAGAGTTCACAGCAAGGACCATGCTTTAGGGGTGGGAGTTGGAGGCCAGGACCTGACAATCAAACTGCTGGTGTTTTGCAGCCTCACCATATTAAAAAGCATAATTTTGGTCAGCATACTGTCATGAAAATGGAACAGCTCATGTACAATGTAACATTTGTAAAGGCCTGCTACAGCATAGTGGTGGGGCCTCCAGAAAAACATTTTAGACACAAAATGACACATACAGTACTCAACAACAGCTGCAAAGTCAAGATCTTCCCTCATTAATAGAAAGTATATCATATTGCATTATAGAATCTGGGATTTTTTGTGAAGTCTGAGGGTGTGTGGTCAGTGAAAGAATGTACTTTAGGGCACAATCTGGATCCCACAATTTAGAAGAGATGCCCTACTGATTGCAGCAGAAAGGTTTGACTGAACAGTGGGGAGGGAATTCACTGGCACCTGCCTAGACTGAGGAAAGCTCCGTGCATACATTTAATGCTGTTCAACAGCCCAGGAGGGACCACCCTGCTCTTGGACTTGTAGATAGAAAGAAGATAAAACCAATCCCAGTGTACTTCTCAAAACAAGTGCACCTCCTTGCACAAGGGTCCCATCTTATTGCTAATGGCAGACAATGCCCTTCACTTTATCCTCTATTTTTTTTTTGTGATGGAAACATCCTTGTGTAAGTGGGATTATTCAGCCTGGCCTGACCTCATGCCCCAGTCCATTTTAGAGAGTGCACTGTGCTGCAGATGCTGCTGATGGTGTAGAGCTGAGTGCTGTGAGAGCAAAGCACAGCTCCTCTCATCCCCTTTCATAACCTAAATCCTTTGGATGTTTGATAAGTGAGAAATACTGCGGGACTAGCCCTTATCTTTATCGTTCTTTAAAGTTTTTGTTCATATTCAGAACACTGGTGAAAGGGAATTTAACTCAAAAAGAGGAGAAGAGAAAGTGAGGGGGTGAGGAAGGCAGAAATTACCCAGACTTGTTATTGCACCTGATAAATTTGCCAGTGATATTAAAAATTATTATTATTTACACCATGTCAGAATTCTAAGAGTATTTCTGCATCAGCACAGAGACTTTTTAGGGGTAGCTGCAAAAGCAATCTTAGCAATCTTACTCATGAGAGGATGATCACAGGATAGCAAAAAATTCCATTAAGGACTGCACTGGCACATTGAAATTGCAGTGCTGTTCTGAAAAAAACAAAATCAAAACTAAGCTCTCACAAGATTTATGAGGATTGTTACTGGAACTGGTTGCAAGTTTCCACTGAAAGAGTTCTATGCCAGTAGGAGAAGAAGGCTGATTTGGCAGAATTGAGTACTTTGGAGAAGCAAGTTAATTGCCACAACTTGCAGTGAGATGCAGACAGGCAGAGCAGGACAGGCAAGTATGGCAGGATAGGCAGGCAGGGCAGGGCAGACAAGGCAAAAGTGCAGGCAGGGCAATCCTCTGGCTCCTTTTTGGCAATGAACTCAGCTGCCTGCCCATCTCTGGCCATCCCAGCTCTGCCTCACTCACTTTTTTCAAACAGCTCTGCTAAGCCAGAGATTTTTGAGAATGCCATTGTGTATGAGAGAAATCTTGAAATAACGGTGGGAAGACAGCTGTGCAACAAAGCCAGCTGAACTGAAAAGACTGCAGATGTCTGGTGTTATTATTTAAAAAATAAATTGTTTTACTCAGCACAGTTGTTTTCCTTGCCTCTACCTTGTTATTCAGTGGTATCTCCTGTGTGCTAGCCTGTCCACGACCCTTTCCCTTGGCCACTCTCTGAGAGGCAGCCTGGCCTGCTCTCCCAGTGGTGTCACCCCCAACACTGTGTGGCTGTCTCCCAGGGCTCTTTTTACACACAGTGCCTCTGTTTGTGACAGTGCAGATAATTATCTGTCAGCAATGGTTGGGGTGCAGAACCTGCTGTGTTCAGTGCACACTCAGATTAGGCACCTTCCTCAAAGTTCTGCTCCAACCTCCCAAGGCAGCTCTGTGGCTGGGGAAGTGCTCTGGCTTATGCAATGCATGAGGGCTGGGGTTAAATCACAACAGATTTTCACAATGGTCCCTTTTGATCTCTCAGCAGATTAGAGAATGGCTTTCATTAGGCATATTCAAGAACAGGTTAGACCACCATCTGCCACTGATGCTATTGACATAGCTGAACTTGCCTAGTGCAGATGATCTCTTCCAGGCCTGTATTTCTATGGCAACTTCCATGTTTTCATTGCTCTCTGAAGACTGGTTCAATTATTGGTTTGAACTCCAGGACAAAAAGACACAAGTGTTGTCTGATTTCACAGCAGAGCTATGTGCCCAGAGCTACAGCAAGTGTGCAGCAAGCCTGCAAAGTCAGGGATTCACTGATGGAAGTCCGTTCTATTTTTCCCTGAAAGTGCTACAGTTTATTACTTTACCTGGACACCTTTCTGTTTCTGCACTCAATGGTTTGTACACCCAAGTTGCCTCAACCTGCCTCAGCCCTCAGAAGTGTGGAACTCTGGGGACTTGTGAGGGAGCCACCCCTACAGATCTGTATTACCTCTTACAGAATAAAAACATAATGCCTTAAATTTATTAAGCAGTTGGTAAAAAACCCAGTCATCCCTGAATGTCCTTGATGAAGACCTAGGAGAAGAATATTTAAAATGTGTTTACATACATAAAACAGCAAATTTGACAGTCTTGGCCAAATATACACAAAAGACATAAAAACTATGCAAGAAGTTTCTTGAGGTATCTCAGGAAAGAAGCCTCCTTTGCAAGGCAGATCTGTGAAGTGGAGGGTGTCTTCTTTGTGTGGAGGTTTAATGATATGGAGCTTTGCTATGCCAGGTAAGGGTACCTTCCTTGTTAACCATTGTGTAGGTATTACTTGCCTGGAGTTGCTGGGTGCTGTTCATGGCACAGTGTTCTACTTTGGCTTGGACTATTTCACACAGGAATTGTAATAGTGATTATTACATTACTGGTGCTTCTGAACTAAGTTAACTAATCTAATCTTTTTCCATGGCCCTTTTTGAAGGCTGTTGGTTTGCTCAGGATAGCTTGCTGAGCACAGCAGTCCAGTTAGGGTAAGCAAAGGGAGATGCTTGCATCTAGAGCCTTGCAGGATGAAGCAATGTGGTTTTACTGGGGGTTTGTGTTGCAGAGACAAAAGAGGAGCAGGCACATGGAATTATGCACCCTCTTTTTCACTACTCCAACACCAAGCACTAGGTGGACACCAGCACTTAAATATTTCAGCTTAAAATCTGCAAAGAATAATTTAAAACCTTACATCCATTGTAAAGATAGAGGGCATCAACCATAAAGCACCACTTTGCCATATCAAACTCTGCAGATAAGGCTAAAAGTTGGAAAAAAACAAAATAAAACTGCAGTTTTAAGAAAATCTGTAGTGTTTGTCTCACTCCTCCCAAGGCTTGTGATTTGTCAGTCTACAAGGCAAAAAGTACAGCTGGTTACTGCTTTATGCCTACCCCAAACTC